TATATATATATATATATATATCTGTGACATGATGTTTTTAATTCTTTTGGGAAGATACCTAAAAGGGAAATAGCTAGGTCAAGTGGAATTTCTAATTTTAGTTTTTTACAGAATCTCTATACTAATTTCCACAGTGGTTGTATCAGTTTACACTCCCATCAACAATGAAGAAGGGTTCCTCCCTCCCCACAGCCTTGCCAGCACTTGTTATGTTGATTTCTTAATGACAGCCATTCTTTCTAAGGTGAGATGGAATATTAATGCTGTTTAAATTTGTATTTCTTGAATGGCCAGTGATGTTGAATTTTTTCCATTATTTATTGACCTATTATATTTCTTCATCTGAGAAGTATCTGTTCATTTCAGATTCCCATTTCATGATTGGGTCTTTAAATTGGGGGAGTCTAACTTTTTGAGTTCTTTATTATTTTAGATGTTAGCCCTTTGTCTGAAGAGTGCTGGCAAAATTTTTTCCCATTCTATAGGTTGTCCCTTCATTTTGCTGGCTCTTTGCTTTGCTGGGAAAAGATTTTTAATTTGATGTGATCCCATTTGTTGGTTCTTGGTATTATTTCTTACACAACTGGGTTTTTATTCGATCATTGCCTACACCTGTGTCTTTGAGAATTTTATCTATTTTTTTCTTCCAGTAGATTGCTTCTGTTCTAATATTGAACACTATAACAAGATCCATTTTTATTTTTGTTTGCTGCATGGTGAGAGATATGGTTCTAAATTCAACCTTTGGCCTGTAGATAGCCAGTTTTCCTAGTATCATTTGTTAAAGAGGCTATTCCTCCAAAGAAAAGATTTGACCCTTTGTCAAAGATTGCATAACTGAGTGTGCCTGGAGTTGTTTCTTCCCTTCTATTCTGTTCCATTGATCCACAAGTATTTTATTTGTCAATATCATGATTTCTTTATTACTGTAATTTTGTAGTATAACTTGAGGTCTGGGACTGTAATGTCTCCTGTCTTATCCTTGCTGCCTAGAATTGCTTTTCTACTCTAGGTCTCTTCTGGTTCGATATGAATTTTAGAATTGCTTTCTCTTGTTCTGTAAGAAAAATTATTGATATTTTTATTGGGATCACATTAAATCTATATTACATATTTTGAAGTATGGCCATTTTAACTATATTGGTTCTGCCTATTCAGGAACAGGAAATATCTTTCCATTTTCTGATGTCCTCTTCCATTTCCTTTTTCAGAGTATTATAGTTTTTGTTGTAGAGGTCTTTCACTTCCTTGATTAGGTTAATTCCTATGTATTTTATTTTTCTTGATGCTATTATAGAACATACTGTTTCTCTAATTTTGCTCTCAGTGAGTTTGTTGTTGGTATAAAGGAGTACTATTGATTTTTGCGTGTTCACTTTATATATCCTGATACACACTAAATTTCATTATCTGGGAGTTTTTTGGTGGAATTTTCAGGGTCTTCTATGTGGAGGTTCATCTCATTTGTAAATAATGATAATTTAACTTCTTTCTCTATCCATATCCCTTTTATTTCTTTTTCTTGTCTAATTGCTGTAGCTAGAATTACAGCGAACAAAAGTGGTGATAGTAGACACCCTTGTCTTGTTCCTGAATTTAGAGGGAAAGCTTTCAGCTTCTCAGCATTAAGTATGATGTTGGCCATTGGTTTGTCATAGATGGCCTTTATCTGATTAAGATAGATTATATTCCTATTTTCTTGAGGTTTTTTTCTCATGAATAAATGCTGAATTTTGTCAACTGCTTTTTCTGCACCTATTGAAATGACCATACTTTTTTGTCTCTCCTTCTGTTTATTTGGTGAATTGTATTTATAGTGGTACCTCAGTTGAAAAACTTAATTCTTTCCATGATTCTGTTGCAAACCACATTGGATGAGAACCAAATTACATTTCTCCATAAGGTCAACATTGAACCTAACCATTGAATTTGATTTGGTTCTTGTCCAGTTTGGTTTGTACCCAGAATCATGGAAAGAATTAAATTCATGAACTGAGGTACCATTACATTTATTTGCATATGTTAAACCATCCCTGTATCCCTAGGATTAATCTTTTCTGGTCATAATGTATGATCTTTTTGATGATCTGTCTCATTGTGTTTGCTAGTATCTTAATGAGGATTTTGCATCTGTGTTCACTAAAGAGATTGATCTGTACTTTTATTTTTTGGTTGGGTCCTTTTCTGGTTTGGGAATCAAGGTAATGATTGCTTCCAGGAATGGCTTTAGGAGTACTGCTTCCCTTTTGATTTTATTAAAGAGTTTGAGGAGTATTGAGGAGCATTAGAACTTCCCTGATATTTGTAGGATTCAGCAGTGAATCCATCAGGACCAGGACTTTCCTTGATTGGCAGTGTTTTTATTCTTAAATTTCTTGACTGACATTGGCTCATTTAAGATTTTTATATCTTCTTAGTTCAGCTTTGGAAGTTCATATGTATCTAGTAATTTATCCATTTCTTCTGAGTTTTCCATTTTATTAGAGTACAAGTTCTGAAAGCAATTACCAATAATCTTTTAGATTTTGGCAGAATTCATTATGATTGTACCTTTTTTATTTCTAATTGTATGGACTTGAGTTTCTTCTTTCCTTTTTAAAATAGGATTGGCTGAGGGTTTATCTATTTTGTTTAGTCTTCCAAAGAACCAACTCTTTGATTCATTGATTCTTTGTGTAATTTTTTAGTCTCAATTTCATTCATTTCTGCATTGATCTTTATAATTTCCTTCCTTGTACAAGCTTTGGGATTGGACTGTTCTTGTTTTTCTAAGACTATGAGGTGCATCATCAGGTTATTTATTTAAGCATGTTCTTTTTTTTTCTAATGTGAGAATTCACTGCCATAAACTTCCTCTTAGGACTGCTCTCATTGTGTCCCACACATTCCAGTATATTACACTGGTATCATTATTTGATTGTAAAAACTGTCTAATTTCTTCTTTAATTTCATCTGTGATCCTTTAATTATTCAAGATGGTATTACTTAATTTCCATGTATTTTCATAGTTTTTGTTGTATCTTTTGCCATTGATTTCTAGTTTCACTAGACTATGGTCCAATAGTATGCATGGGATAATTTCAGTTCCTTTGCATTTACTTAAGCATGTTCTATGGGCTAGTATATAGTCTATTTTGGAGAAAGCCCCATGTGCTGCCAAGAGAAATGTGTACTCTGTTGCTGTTGGGTGGAACATTGTGTAAATATTAAGTCCATTTGTTCAAAGGTTTACTTCAGCACTGATATTTCTTTGATTTTTTTTTTTGCCATAACTGTCCCTTTGTAATAGTGAGGTATTGAGATACCCCACTGCCATTATATCAGTGTTCATCTGATTTTTTTCATGTTTGTTTTATGAAGTTGAGTGCACCAGCATTTGGTGCATTTATATTCATAATTGTTGACTCTTCCTGTTAGACTATTCCCTTAACCATTTTCTAGCAGCCTTTTTTATCTCTTCTGATTAGTCTTGGCTTGAAGTCTCTTTGTCTGATATTAGGATAGTAACTCCTGCTTTTTTCTGGGTTCTGTTACATGAAATATTGTTTTCCATCCTATGATTTTTAATCTGTGAGTATCTTTTCTAATTAAATGTGTTTCTTGTATACTGCATATTGTTGGGTTTTATTTCTTAATCTGTTGTGACAAACTGTGTCTTTTGAGTAGGAAATTGAGTCCATTCATATTGAGAGTTATTAGTGAGAGATATTGACTTATTCCTGTCATTGTGTTATTTTCCTGTTGCTCACTTCCTCATTTTTCTCATTTTGCTTAGCTGCTCATCCTACTGGGCATATTCATTCTTTTGACGTATTGGATTTATTAGCTTCATTGTTTCTTTCTAAGATATCCTTAACAATTTTTGGTAATGCTGATTTGGCGGTCTTGAATTGGTTGTTTTTTGTTTGTTTGTTTATTTGTTTGGTACTGGGGGTCAAATTTGGGATCTTGCATTTTGCGAGGCAGTCAGTGGCACCCTTGAGCTAAATCCCTGTCCTATGGCTTTCTTGAAGTGCTTCTTGTCATGGAAATACCTTATTTTTCCATCAATTTTAAAGGAAAGTTTTGCCAAATATATAACCTAGGGTTGGAAGTGGTTATCTTTTAGGGCTTGGAATATTTTATTCACTTCTAGCCTTCCTGGCCTTTACAGTTTATAAAGAAGATTGCCATGCATGATTTTTATCAATTTACCTCTATAGGTAATTCATTGCCTTCTTCTAGATGCTTTTAAAATTTTGTTCTTTTGATTGACTTCTGAAATTTTTAGTATAATGTGCTGTGGAGAGGTTCTTTTGGCCATGCCTATTTGGGGTTCTATATACCCATGTATGTTTGTTTCTTTCCCTGTTTGGGGGATGTTTTCTGCCCTTATTTCTGTGAAAAGATTTTTTATGCCATTTATGTTACCTTCTGATCTTTCATTTATTTCAATTATTCTTAGATTAGTCTTCTGTGTATCATCTACCAGTTTCTGAATCCATTTTTCATTTTCTCTCATTGATTTTGAAGTGTCTTTGAGTAGTTGCTTTTTGAAGGTATCATTGTCATCTAGACCTGAGATTCTGTCCTCACATTGACCAGTTCTATTGCCTATGCTTTCAATATGATTTTTAATCTCTTGTATTTCTGATTGAAACTTTTTTGCGCTCTCTCTCTCTCTCTTTCTCTCTCTCTCTCTCTCTCTCTCTTTCTCTGTCTCTGTCTCCCGCCTCCCCCACCGCCACCTCAACAGGGTCTCACTATGTAGTCCAGGCTGGCCTTGAACTCACTATGTAACCCAGCCTGGCCTCAAACTTGAGGCAATTCTCTTGCCTCAGCCTCCCAAATTCTGAGATTAGATATGTGTACCATCATATCCAGCTAATTAAAACCCTTTCATGGAGTCTAATTCATTGGTAAACCGATCATTTATCTTTTGTATTGTTTTGTTTAGCTTATCTATCTTTGTAGTAATGTCTTCCGAAAGCTCTAGCATCTTTTCAGTTGTTACTTCCACTATTTAGTTACATTTTCTCTAATCCCATTGAGTAGTTCTGTGAACTGAATTCTAACCTCCTCTGCTATCCTTTCAATTAGTTTAGATGTGTAGCTTATGCTATTCTGCCCTCCACTACTCCCTGGATTGGTTTCGTGGAGTTGGGAGTTCTGGGAGGCATTTTCTTGTTTTTTCTTCTCATATGTCCATTGGTTTTTGTTTGTGCTTGTTTTATTTTGTGCTGAGGTTGTGGATACTTGTGGTCTAAGGACATTGTTAACAGTATAGAGATCTTTTTAGTTACTTTTCAGTGAGGTACTTTGGGTGTGGTTAACTATAATCCTTTGCCACAGTCCCACAATCCTACCACCTTGTCATTTTTAGAAATGAGGATGCAGTGTACTTAGTTCGGGGTTGAAGTTCTCTGGGAATGTACTATAGTATTGTTAATACCACAAAAGTAATCTGAATGCTGGCCTACAGAGAGACAGCAACAAGAATGTGATCCTGTTAATATCAAGGGAATTGGCTGCAATAATTGTGCCCAAGACAAATTACATATTAACATACCATAAAAATAAATTGTGTATCACCCTCAATCCTAGAGAAAAAGCAGGGAGTTATGATGTAAACATTAAGGCAATCCAGGTATTGACTTCTAGCTAATACATACTAAATAAGACAACTATATCTTTGCTAATAGTACAAAACAAAAATTCAAGGTAATTTTACAGAGTTAAGTATTAAAAGATTAACAAAGCTTTATAGTTATACTATTAAATATTTGGGTTTGGGAGTAGAGGGAAAAAAACTTGAAACCTTAAACCCTATGATAAAAGAACAAGGAGAGAAAAGTGATACAACAGATCTAGTTAGGGAGAAGAAGAATATAGAATTAGATAAAGGTAAGACAAAATAACTGGCAAGAAAGAGAAGGTGAAAAAAGAAAAAGAAAGAAAGAAATTATGTAGAGAGCTAAAATAACAGAGAATGCTTAAGAGGAGAAACATTAAAAGGAAGAAGAATTTGAAAAAGAGATTAGAAGCAAGACAGGGAACATAGGAAGGTAACTAAGCCCCAAGCCTCAGGAAACTGGGAGAGAGAGAAAGACAGAGAGAGAGAGGGAGGGAGGGAGAGAGAGAGGAAGAAGGAGGAAGAGGAAGAAGGAGGAGGAGGAAGAAGAGGAGGAGGAGGAGAAGAAGAAGAAGAAGGAGAAGTGGAAAGAGGAGGAGGAGGGAGGGAAGGACAGAGAGAAAGAAAAAAGAACAAAAGCAAAAAATGAAAAACGAACACAAAAAGAACAAAAAAAAATCTCAACCAAATGAACAAAAACAAACGAAGAAAGGGAATTACTCCGTGACTTCAAATGTGTGGTTACTTTCTGGGATTCAGTTTAGGGCAGTATCCAATTCAGGACATGTCCCTGTTCTTGCTAGTAGACAAAGAAGGGAGTCAGAGTCCAGGTCCAGGCTGGGTGTAGTCACCAGCATGCGGGCAGTAAGCTTAGGGAAGGGCTGCCAATTCTGGGACTTTCAAATTCATAAAAATTCAGGCTGAACCTGGCTTCTGGCTATGGGGGTGGGGCCCTGGTTGTTCAGTTTGAAACGCTGTGTGTCACTTGCTGGCCTGACCATGGCTCCATGACCACCTAATGTCTCCTGTGGCTGACCCTCATCCAATCCCTGTGGGAGTATAAAGCTGGAAGCCCTGAAATAAAGCCAACCTACAGTCACTCTGAGTTTCAGGCTCAGGCCTCAGTTGGTTAACTCCATGGTATGGAGTCAAAGCACTTACTTCAGAGGAAATAGGGCAAGTGCTTAGGCTGGAGTTACTCACCAACTCTTGCAGCTCACAGCATCCACCAGTCTGTTGCACTGTTTAGTTTTTTCCTGAAGGCTTCTGGAGACCTCTGCTTTCACTGTGTCTCTTGTAGATTTTGCCCTGCTTTGTCATGGTGCACTAGACAGGAGCTGGGGTGAAGGTGCAAGTTGCCCCCTTCCTTTTTCCACATTATGTTCTGTCTCTTCAATTTCTCTTCAGACTGCAACTTTTCCTTCAGATCCTTCCAGGGTCTCAGGACTCCGCCTCCCTCCTTCTTTTCTTCCCCAGGTTGTTATTTTCCAGCGTCTGGACTCCGAATCCCAGAGAGGCTAATCTGTCTCTGTTTACCACTCCGCCATCTTCCCAGAAGCCCTTCTTTTTTCTATCAATTTCCTGCAAGGCAGGGTCTGGAAGACCAGCCCAGCTTCCCAGAGCTCATAAATTATGTTGATTATTCACAACAAACTGTGAAATTTAAAAAATAATCTATTTCATCGATGAGAAAAATGAACTTCAAAAAGGTTAAGATACACTTTTCAAAGTAATGTGGGTCTAGAAATGGATTTGGCAATAAGCTCGGACATTAGGATCTTTTCTCTTCATCACAGTGGCTGAGGCCACTTTAGCCTTCTGGAGGGAGAGAGCAAAGAGAGTCCTTGTTTTCAGGATTTCTACTGGGAGAGTCCTGCAAGTATGCATCTGGATGTTTTTCCTCTGTCTTCCACAGCCCCTCATCCTCCAAAGGGCAGAGTCCTCTGCTGCAAAGTCCGTGCATGACCTTTGAAGCCCACATCAACCCTACCCCCAGAAAAACCCCACGTACTTCTGTTCAGCAAGGATTTCATCTTGGCTTAGTCCTTCTCTTTCCTTGTTTGATGGGAAAGAATGGGATTCTTGGTGTGCATGGGATGAACCACATGAGAGGGACCATTACATATTGCATTGAGGCCGTTTTTACCAGTCACAATTTTGTCAAAATATGTATTCCCCTAATCAATTTAGCAAAGACTGCCCTACCTTGCCAACTGATATATGTCCATAAATATTCCAGACATGGGATTGTGTTTTCTCCTTCCCCGGGGTTCTAGCTCCTAACAGCCATTGAAGTTTAGGACAAGCCTTAGACAGTATTTGATTGCACTTATCAGAATAACCTAGGGAACAAGGAAAAGCTTGAGAAACTACTCTTAGTGGAGTACAGTACTCTGGGGAGAAACAGACATGCATGGATTATACTCTGCCCTTGGGACGTCAGTGGCAGGACATTGCCCCTGGGTGCAGAAGGCTCTCCAGAGAATGCTTAGCCCCTCCTTTTATCCAGACTCAGCTTGGTTAGTCCCATGGAGTTCTGAACCAAGATAGAATCAAGTATGCAATTTCCTACCTGGCCCCAATCCCAGAGGTATTGGGTCTGCCCATCTCGGGGGAGCCCAGCTCTATGTATTTGTAACCAAGGTGATTCTGACTTGAGTGATCCCCACACCACAATTTGAGAGGACAGTGTAATTAACAAAAATTGCGCACAGGACAGTATGTACCACTCATAGGAGTCCTCACATCTGAGCCAGGCCGAGTCTTTTCACACTTTGCAAATAAGAAAATTATCTCTGGGTTACACCAGGACCATTCTAAAGGGCCATGGGGCTTCTGGTCCATCCCAGAGTCACAATGCATGACCTGGGATATGCAGTGTCTTCTCCAGTTAAAAGTGAGAAAGTGTTCATCTCCTCCCCACCCAACCACTGTATCTATTAGCTTAATAGTATTTATTAGGTGCTTTCTACAAGTGAGCTACTGTGTTGGGCCAGTTAATATTTATAATTCTCCACTTGCGCTGATAAAACTAAGGCCCAAAGAAGTTCAGAAATATATCTAGCTGTGGCAGGGGCATGGCTGAATTGGGAGAGGCACCCACACTACCTGGTTCTGCAGATCATCCACCCTCTTACCTCTCTGCTCTGTTCTCTCCCATCTAAATCACCCAGGTCTGAGACTAGGGAGCAAAGCAACTGACTCACCATGGCTTCTTTCTACGTGAAGGCATTCTATCAGTCATCAACACTGCATTTCCGTCCTTTTTTCGTTCCTTGGATGTGGGCTCAACAAATTAAAATAAAGGCTATGAAGGAAGTTTGTTGGGAGGATGGGAGGTAGAGCATTTATTAGCAGAGTCAGATTCCTACCTGTCTATCATGAAATATGCCCTTTGCCCTGCATGCTGGCCTGACCTGGGTGGAGCATAAAGCAGCCCCTTGCCATGGCTGACCAGGGCAAGGTTCAGTGGGAACACAGTCTCAGACCACCTCGTGGATGTGTTGGTTTTGGCAGGATCTGATACATGTCATCCTGTATATGACATTGGCTCTGTGTCCAAGTTAAAAAAGAAAGAAATACAAAGAAAAGTGGTGGGGGGAGCAGAAATGAAGAATCAGCAGTAAATCAGTAAATACAGCAATAATTAGGAAATGGTGCAAACTCTTTTGGAGAGGCCCACAGGCTAATTTATAAATTAGCAAATTTATAAACAGATACAAGGAATTAATAACAACTTAGTATTTTTCCTACCAAATTTAAGATATAAAATAAAGTTTGAATTAGCTTTATCTGGATTCCCATCTTCCTTCTGCCATTTACCTAGGCAAGTTGCTTGACCGCTGGGCCCTGGTTTCTCAAATTTAATTGTGGACAATCATGTCTGTTTAAAAGAATGAACTGTGAGGATTAGAAATCATGTATGCAAGGGAGGCCTTCAGTGTGTGATAACTAATATTATAACAACTCTAGAAATCATTTCTGAAGTTAATGGAATGTCTGAAGATGAACCTAATTGTATGAAAGACAGACTTTCATAGGTTTTTATGATTCAAAAATAATGATATAGATTGGTTGTTTTTGTTCCTTGAGCTCATAACACTGCATGTGAAAGCAATTTTGCATGTGTTATGTTTGATATTTAAAATAATCCCGAAGCATAAGAGCAGTATTATCTTCTTCATATTAAAAATGATTATGTTAAGAACTAGTACATTTAAGTGGTTTACCTCACAACTTATAAAGAATTGACACTCAACACCAGTCTTCTGAAATTAAATTGAGTTCACACTCCCTGACCATACTAGAATTTGTTATTCATTTTTTAAATACTCAATGAAAATACACATTCAATTAGTAAAATTGAATTTAATATTTTCTCATATTCAACTATGAGAAAATCATATCCCAGAGATGGAAAGAGACTTTATTCAGATCATATAGAAAATCAGCAAGAAGATAGGATTTTTTAAAAAGGAGTCTTAAGTAACAATTATGACACCCAGGAAATCATTAAAGGCATAGGATCTGCCACTAGCTATCTGTATAATTGTGCAAGTTACCCATACCAAGCTAAGGTTTATCCCTTCCTGAAGTTCTCTCTTGAGAGTACAGTATTAACTTCACAGTGTCACTGTAGTGACTAGATAATAGATGTACACCTGAGAAATAAATGCTCAGTAGATGTGACTTTCCTATACCTCATGCATTAACTTGACAAATGAGCATTTGGTAAAGTTTGATAACTGAAGCTTCAGTGTCAGGAAGGCTCTCCTGCCCATAAACCAGGAACAGCGAGTACTTGGCAGGTGTGGCCAAGCATGCAGTTTCTCTGCCTGGATATCCTAAAGCAGAGCTGTTCCTAGAAGGGGTTCTGGGAACCCTTAGGTCTTGGAGGAGTTCGATTCCCTTTGTAAATGGCTGCCAGCAACCACTGCTAATGTTAGCTGAATGTTGGAGTGGTTTGTTTGCTCTGGAGGACTTGGATGCTGATAGCTAATAGATATGTGAGCAATAAAGTTTGAGCTTAATGTGAACACATGCTCGCCTAAGAACAAGACTGGGGTCATTAACTCCCAGCAGGAAGGCGACAGAGTCTGTGAAATGATCATTACACTCCCTTGCTATGTTGCTCAGAACGAGTTCTGAGTCTCATTAACAAGTGTTGATGCCTCATTCTTGGGCACTGCTTGTACACCACCTTTACAGGAGAGCAATTCCCAAAGGTGGGATTGAGGTTCATGTGATTCCAAGAAGGCAAGCATTTTCCCACTTTCTTCATGGCAGACAAGGTAACTGAAGAGCCTGAAAATTTTTAGCTCTCTCTCCCATTCTCTCTCTCTCCCTTCCTCTTCCCTCCCTTTGTGTGTGTGTGTGTGTGTGTGTGTGTGTGTGTGTATGAGTGTGTAGGCTGTCATGTTATCCGTAAAGGAATGCTGGTTCCTAATCATCTCCTTCTATATGACCATACTATAGAGCACACCCAAAGTCAACTCATTAGCAAAATTACCTTTTTCTAGTCCAGGCTATGTCTGTGCCTTCCAATTTGGGCTCATTAACTAGGTCTGTGGGTTTGGCCCTGACTCCTCGGCTTGTATAGTCCAAGTTTTTGCCATGCCCCACCCAACTTATGAGAAAATACCCAGTTGTTTGTGTTTTGCTTAGATTTTAGGACATTATAATTCAATGTATATTTGAGATAAAAATGGCAGATAAATGGTAGCCAAATTCTGGACCATCCTGACTTCAGGAAGGACACAGCGGGACTAAATCACCTTATTCTCTAGTACTTTCTTTGTCCCTGGCTTCCTTTCCCATCTCAGGAAGAATGGCCTCTGTTCTCTCTCTGGCCAGCGGCCTCTTTCACCTCCAGACGCCGGCCTGCAAGGTTTCCACAGCTCACTCCTCCTCCCGAAGGGCTGTCATACCAAAATCCTGCCATCCTCTATGTTCCTGGATAAAGGGTGAACCACAGTGCATTCATTTCCTGTTAGTGCTGTGACAAAGTACATGAATTGGCTTAAAACAATGCAAATTTACTATCCTACAGTTCTGGAGATCTCACTGGGCTAAAATCAAGGTGTCAGTAGATTTGTATAACTATTTTAAAAAAATCTGTTTTCTTGCCTTTTCACCTTCTAAATGCCACCCACACTCCAATACACGGTTTATGCCCCTTTCCCGCTCCAGCTTCGAAGACACCATGGTCACACAGAATCCTTTTTCTATTGCCACTTTGCTGGTTCTCTCTTCTGCCTCCCTTTTCTGTTATAAATACCCTTTTATTACACTGATCTCATCCAGATAGTCCAGGATCATCTCCTCATCTAAACTCAATAGATTAGCAAGCTTGATTCCATCTCTTACCTTAACTCCCCTTTGCTAACATAGTCACAGATTCTGAGCATTAAGTGGTAAACACTTTGGGGGCTAGTATTTTCCACATAGGGCATAGTGCCCTTTTTCCATGAAGCAAGGGTTGCATGGAGCCGTTGCAGAGAGTAGGCTTGGTTGCATGCTGAACTTCAGCAGCCTTGTCCACTGAACTGTCTCCTGATGGCCACTGATAAGCACTCAAGATCAGCCTCCCTTGGCAGGCTTCCCGGGCATGTGGTCTGAATCAGCTTCCAGGGATCCCAGTGTCCTTCCCTTTTGGCTGACATATGCTCTGTGTCCTCAGTAATCACCCTGTGACCAGCTCACACTTAAATTTCACTTTGGAGGAAACATGGCTGAATAACACAGATTACTTAGTTTGCTTCAGGCAGAGTGTCAGCCCTAGGCCTAATCCTGGGGCTGTGGTTCCCCAGGAGTGATCAGACAAGCTTCCCCACCAGCCCCAGGAATGGCAGGGGGTCTTGGACCAGCAGTCAGGGCATTTACTTCTCTGGTCATAGCCCTGACCTAAAGATGGTCACAGGATTCCAGCCAGATGTCAGGAACTGTGATGGTCACCAAACATTTCAACTCCCCCTTGTATTCCCAGTCATCTTGCAGTAAGGAAAAACTGTGTGGCTAGTTTCAGCCAGTTCAAGAGGAGAAGTGCTATTGGTCCCTTCTGAGCTGAAACAATGAAAAACCCATGACCAATTCTACAGTCTTTCTGCCTCTTCTGAAGCAGTAAAGAAAAAACTAAGTTCTAGATGCTATAGCTTCAAAATGGTGGCATGACTATCAACCCCTGACAACCAGTGATACACAATGCTCATGAAATAGGATCAAAAAACAAACTGGAATGTTAACCTTGGATTTGGGATTGACTGTTAGTACAGTATAACTGGCCAATCCTGACTACAATAGGCTTCTTATTGAACTTCCCAGGGGTCCCAGGAAAGAGTTCCCCTCGCTCCTTCTCAGGCCCCACAGATAGTGAACATATTTTCAGTATGGAACTTCCAGCAGCCATTTTACCGCCAAGAGGAGAGAAACTGAAAAATGAAGCTTTTTCAGAAGCCATTTGTGCCATGTGATAAAAGACAGAGTCCTGCTGACTGCATTTGAATTCTTGGATATATTTGGGAACAAAGGTTTATTGACCATTTTTTTTTTGCATAAAATGGTATAATTACACCTTTTTAATCTCAAAATGAAGACATTCCCGCTTTTGTCTTTGCTCATTGGAAGTGTGTTTTCCCCTGTGCAATGGTAAAAGTCCTCACAATCACCGCCCTTTCTTCTGAGTGACTTGCTTGACAATCTAGACATTCCTTCTTAGGGATTCCTTCCTGTGGAAATCAAGACTCCTGCATATCAGAGTAGGGCCCTCAGGCCAGTTTGCTGCCCCTAGAGATCATAGTTCCTGCATATTCTATACCCACATTCCCTATGGACGTGAAACTACACTCCCTTCTCTTATTTTCTGGGAAGGAAAGGTATGTTAACAGCCAGGTGCTCCTTTCTGATTAACTCAAAATGCTCTTGTTTGATTATAACTACTAAATCACTATAGGCAAAAATTTACCAATGATTAAAAATTAAACTGGGCCAGGTATTTAGTTCAGCGGTGCCGTCACCTGCCTCGCAGCACAAGGTCCTGAGTTCGATCCCCGATCCCCCACAGCAAAAAAACAAACAAACAAAAAATTAAACAAAGAAAAAGTGTGTATTGATGACCTTGATTTGCAGGGGTAATACAGAGAAAATCGCACTAACTTTATTCTATTATAATATTCTCTCGAGGCATTGATTTGCCTTCTTGTGTTTCTCAAACATGAGTTCGGGCCTTTGCGGGGGAAAAAACCAATGGTTTTGTGGTTTTCCCTCCTGTAGAGATGATGAGTGTGCATTGACTCACCCACAGTCTCTCTTTTGTTCCCTTTGTGAGCCAGAAAGGAGGCCTGTCAG